ACCCGCCCCCCCCGCCATGCGGCGGACTGGGGCGTAGGGCCCCGGTTCGCCTTTGTTTGCTCCAGAGCCCAGCGCCCGTCCAGCCGCGCCCCCCCTCCCGGGAAGGGACAGAGCGGGCCGGGGGCTCATGCGCAAAGGGGCCCCCCCTCTCCTTTGGGAACGGGAGGCTGCCCTGGGGAAAACTCCCTTCTGTGGCCGAGGGTGGGGGGCTGAGCTGGGCTGCGAGCTGGTATTGGAAGGGCGGCCCTGCTGGGGCACGGCGCTGGGTCTCTCCTCTCTCGCCCTGGGCTGCCCGGGAAGGCGGCGGCCTCAGCAGCGCTCCGGGAGGCAGGAGCTGACAGGTTGGTCCTGACGCCATTGTCGGTGGCACGCCCAACCCGGCGGAGCCGCCTGCAAGACTAGGCAGGATCTTGCCACGGCAACAGCGTGGCTCTGAGGTAATATGCCCTGCTCCCCCGCGGGCTCCACAGCCCCCTGCCCTCTCTGCCGGGGACAGCGCGGAGTGACATGAAACAATAGAAACCTGGGGGAGGCTCGTCTGGGGGCAAGCTTCAGGAATGAGCCTCGGATGAAGTCACTCGGCGCTCCCTTGATTCCCGCTGTCAGCCGGAGGCCAACACACCCCGTTTGTTTTCCCCTTAACCAAATGGCAACAAAGAAATAGCCTGACGGCTCGAAGTCTTAGTGAGCAGCAACAACTGGCACTAGCCAGATTTTCAGGCGCCTTGACTTCCTCATTGGGAGTTGAGCTCGTCTGACCGCCGGCCCATTGTGCTTCCCTGCCATGGTGAAGGCTGTGGAAACATTTGCTGGATGGCTTGTTCCTAGATTGTCTGGTGTGTGTGTGTAGGGGGATGTGTATGGCAAGCTATTTGAATACAACATTTCATTTAAGATACTTACCTTGTAACATTATATCAGGATTATTGGGTGGCTTGGCTCAGCCTTGGCAGAGTGCAGGTTGTTGCTTTGCTTGAGTGTGGTTTTATAAATGACAACACTTGTTTTCGGGGACAGAAATGTATTTATAATAACGTTGTAACAAAGGGCTCTATCTACGCACAGAGTTTACCATTTTAACTATAATAAATGGCATAGATAATGTGGTGCCAGCCCCTCATGACTGGATACGTTTATAATAATATTAAAGGTGTTTTGTTGTGCTGGTATAGCTATTCTCATGCAGGGAAAGGGAATAAACTGTACTAGTGCTTTATATCAGTGTAACTGCCCACATTAGGGATTGTACTGGTGGAACTGTTTCAGTGTTTTAAAAAAAAAAATCAAAACCCCAACTGACATAGTGATACCAGTTCAAAATCCGTGTGTAGTTTAGGAATCTAAACTTGACTGTAAATGGATGTTTTAGTGTTAGCATTTAAAAAAATGCTATACAATTATAGAAAATAGATCAACATCTCAAAAGAAATGATGATTGTCAGAACAAATAAGGAACAGTACATATCAATGATCATGTTTGTTACATTTTTGGTTCATGCTTGTTTGGATTTCTTTTTAACTGCAGTTGGTGAACAGCCTACATCATTCAGTTGATGGCCAAGGTTTCTGTTGTGTAGCTGACAGTCTGTTTATTTAATAATGTGAAGTTTGCCTCGACAATGGGATTAGACTGTGAAACATGTGCCCTATAAAACAGTCACGGTAGTAATCTGTTATGACAGTTCTTAGGTTGGCCACTGTTTAAAGTAGGGATGTTAGTGTGTAATGGAATAGTCTTATAACCCCATCAAATTTTAGTGGTTACACGACTATTTGATAGTTTCCGGGGCCAGCAGCCAGTGTGCTCCCTGCCCCATTCTCAGGGAGACTCCTGTCACCCAGCGCTGCTGCTACTGTATCAGGGCAACAGTGCAGGACAACAGCAGCCCCTCTCTTCTGGGGTCTGAGCTCCCAGCGAACAGAGGCTGCTCTGTGGGATGATGGAGCAGACTCTGTCCAGGGGACCTTGGACCCCACACAGACAGGTGCTGCTGCTGTGGAGCAGCCTCTGTCTGTAGCAAGCTTGGCCCACTCCAGAAAGAGGCTGCTTTGTAGTGCCCCCGCCACTGCCTCCCTGCACTGCTGCCTTTGAAAGAGGCAGCAGCGCATGGGGAGGGGAGGTGGCGCCACAGAGCTGTCACTCATGGAGAGCTTTTAAGCCCGCTCCTGCCTGATCCTCCCCACCTGCTGTCTCTGTAGGACACAACAAGGAGGGGGGCAGGTGGATTGGCAGAACGGACACATGTGGAGAGCCATCTTAAAAGCCAGCTCCCCATGTATATTGGCTCCCCCCTGCCTGTATCACCTTCCGCACTGCTGCCTCTTTATAAGAGACAGCAGCACAGGCGGGAGAGGGGGGTAAGTGGATCCAGTGCTCATGGGGGCTCCCATGGCCACTGGCTCCTGCCTCTCCTTCCCTCCTGCAGCAAGGCGGGGGTGTGGGGGGGGAGGGATGTGTATAGTAGACAGGATTAACCAATAAACCCAGGCTTATCAGTTAATAGTGTATTTGTCTGCACAGTGACATCCCTGGTTTAAAGTTCAATTATGAGATAAAGAATCAGATATTTGAGGGGTGTAGGGCATTCCTCAATGCTCCTTAGCTGATTTGCTTTCTTAGAAGTCTCCATAGGTTTCTCTTGGGCATTCTGTTGTGATGTACTACGTTAGCAAAGGCTGACAGCAATTACCCTGATCTAACCTAAGCCCTAGCCTCTGCCGCTGGCAAGGGACCTCTAATTCCTTACCAGTCATGGAGGCAGTATTTTCTGTGCTAGCAAGAGCTGTTGACAGCTTGCAGTTGTGACGCTGCACTGACTGTAGTGGTTTGAGAGTCTGTGACTTTTTTTTGTTTTTCTTTATTACAAGTCCTGAACTCTTGATCTCACTCTTTTTAATTATTTTTTTTTAAAGGCAAAGTCACACTCCGGAAAAGTGACTTTATTTACAGCAATCGCCTTTAAAAAAAAATAATTAAAAAGTCACACTCCGGAAAAGTGACTTTATTTACAGCAATTTTCAGAGACTTGTCTTTTGTCAAAGAGCCTGTGGTAGAAGTCAATTATTTAATCAATATGTTCGGTCCATTGCCAAAGTATTTAAGCAAAGCAAAGAGCCCCCCCCCCCCC